TGTGCGCAGTCTGCTCGTCTTCAGCGTCGGAGCCGGCGTCCAGCGCGCCGCCGCGGATGGCCGCCACCATCAGCGGAGTCATGCCCAGCGGCCCGCGCGCGTTCACATCCACGTGCCCGTCGTGCTGCGCCACAACATTATTTTAGTTACAATTATTATAGTAAGGTTTGTATTGATCGTTTGCTTGGCAACACAAATCTGTAAAAAATTATCGTCACTAGAGCTTTTAACTTGAAATTTACAATTCTACTCACAATTGCCGGTGGAGTCATCATACTGGGCGGCACCCTGATGTCCGCCGCGTCCAGGTGCTGCTGGGTCCATACTCTGGGTTCGTGTCCCGCCTCCTCGTAGTCGGTTATGGCGGTGTGATCGGACGCGTAACCTCCCGGCGCGCCGTTGGCGTCCCCGGGCCCGCGCGCCCGCTTCGCCCGCGGCGGCGCGGAGCCGTCGTCGTCCTCGTCCGACCAGTGCGGCGGGCCCATGTGACCGCCGTTTATGTCCACATCGATGCAGCCGATGGAGGCCTTGTTCAGGTTCCTCATCTCCTGTCCGTCGGGGCCGCGCCGTCGCGTTCGTCGCCGCGTCGACGAATTGTTGCGGATGAAGCCCTCGGGGAACCACGTGATGCCCGCGGCGCGTTTCCGCTGCGCCGTCACCAGCACGCCGATGAGCAGACCCGCGAGCAGGACGAGGATCACTCCGATGAACACATACTTCGAGTTGGTGGGCAAGTCTATGGGGCCATCGGGTCTCGTGACCCCTTTGACTTGAAATATCGGAAAGTCGGGGGAGAGCGAGTGCTTGGAGGCGGTCGCGGCCAGGAAGTCGGCGGCGTCCTGCGCCGAGAAGAAGCACTCGGACCCGGACATGGAGGAACACTTTCTGTTGTCCAGTTCGAGGTACACCTGCACGCCCGACTGCCCCCTCTCCGTGAAGGCGATCTGATGTTTCTTGCCGAACTCCGTGTCCTGCAGTCCCACGTCAGTCGATCCCTTCCACGGGTACACCATGTCGTTGCCGAGGTGGTCCTTCTTTATGACGACGGTGGTCCGCAGCTGGTGGCCGAGGTCCCGCAGAAAGGCAACGGAGTTCTCCTTGAAGGTGCGCACGTCCATGAGCAGGATGACGGACATGACGCCCTCGGCGAGGTCGGGCGGCTCGTTCTCGCAGTCGAGGCCGTCCCAGTTGCACTCGGCGTTGTTGCAGCCGTAGTCACAGTGCCCGTTGGCATAGTGCTTCTGGCAGTAGGCGTCGTACACGGGGTTGCAGCGCTGTAGAGACTTCTGACAGTCGCGGCCGTCAAACAGGCAGGCCTGCGTGTTGCACACCTCGTTGCACTCGCCGTTCATGAACACCTCCCAGCACTTGATGGGCGCGGTGCAGTTCGCCCAGGGGTTGAGCCCCAGCGAGCAGTCGTTGCCGTCGAACTCGCACGCGTACGTGTTGCACTCCTCGTCGCAGCGGTGGTCGCCCTGCTTCTCCTTGCAGCCCAACTTGACGCACTGCTCCCGCTGGAACGCCAGGTCCAACTCCTGGAAGGTCAGACTCGGGTTCTTGCTGTAGACCCCGGAAATGGGGCTGCCGTAGCCGCCGCGGGAGTGGGGGTCGTGGATCTCGCAGACCTTGCCGGTCCACTGTCGCGGGCAGTAGCACAGAAAGCTACCGGGCTTGTCTATGCAGCGCGCCTCCGGGTGCTTGCAGGGGTTGCTGAGGCACTCGTTCATGGAGTCGAGCTCGCAGTTGACGCCGGAGAGGCCGGAGGGGCAGTCGCAAACGTAGTCCGAGATCTCGGAGGGGCGACAGTAGCCGCCGTTCTGACAGGGGTTGGGGTCGCAGACGTAGCCGGAGTACTCGCAGTTCTTGCCATAGAAGCCGTCGCCGCAGAGGCACTCGTGACCGCCCTGGACGGCGGTGCAGATGCCGCCGTTCTGGCAGGGCGAGTTGGCACAGAAGTTGACCTTGGCATCGCAGTGGCGGCCCATGTAGCCGGGCTTGCAGTTGCAGTGATAGTCGTTGACGAGCTGCACGCAGTCCTGGGTGCCGGGGTCGGAGCAGGGGTCGGAGAGGCACTCGTTGATGTCGCCCTCGCAGCGCGGCCCCACGAAGCCGGGCGGGCACTTGCACTCGAAGCCGCCCACCTTGTCGATGCAGGTGCCGTTGTTGTGGCAGGCGTCCTGCTTGCAGTCGTTCACGTTGATCTCGCAGATCTTGCCGAGGGTGCCGAAGGGGCAGGAGCAGGAGAAGTTGTCGACGAGGTCGTGGCAGGTGCCGCCGTTCTGGCAGGGGTTGGGCAAGCAGTCGTTCACGTTGAGCTCACAGTTCTGGCCCTGGAAGCCCTTGGCGCACTGGCACTGGTACGTGCCGACGAGATCCCTGCACTGGGCGCCGTTCTGGCAGGGCGCGGAGTCGCACTCGTTGATCTCCTGCTGGCAGTAGGAGCCGGAGTAGCCCTCGAGGCAGTGGCAGCGGTGCGAGTTGCCGATGTCCTCGCAGGTGCCGTTGTTGCAGAGCTGCTTCATTTTCACACCTGACGCAAACAATAGCGAGTTATTATCACATGTGCTTAGCCAAATAATTCGAATGCCATTGTAGTGTGAGGTGTATTACCTTTCCGGAGCGCAGCATCATTGCAGGAGACCATCTCGACGTCGCACAGCTTGCCGGACCAGCCGGGTGCGCACGCGCACGCGTACTGCGGGCCCTTCTGCGAGCACGTCGCGCCGTTCTCACACGGCATGTTCTCACACCTGAACACATACGTGTATTAGATACAGAGATGGAGCTCATTGTCTATGAGAGGAGGTCAGAGCAACACTCACCAGTCGACGAAGGCCTCGCAGTGTTTGCCTGTGTACCCGTATGGACAATGGCAGGTGTAGAAAGTGACATGATCATGGCAGGTGGCACCATTGCTGCACGGCGAGCTGTCGCACATGTTGATACGGAACTGGCAGTTCGAACCCGTATACCTAAAACATAACAAACATTTTAACTTAGCCTTAGATTTCTAAAACTAGATGTTACTAAGCGCCATCTGGTGATAAAACTGATGCTATATGTTATAGCATCAGTTTTATCTGGTGTAACTGACCCCGGTGGACAGGAGCAGTTGTAAGAGTTGATGCCGTCGAGACAGGTGCCGCCGTTCATGCAGCTGGAGTCTGTGCAATCCTCGTCATTGGTCTGACAGTCCGTGCCGGAGAAGCCCAGCGGGCACGTGCACGTGTACGACGCAACGTACTGCAAACAGACAAATTATCATCTTTGAACATCGACAAATAATTAATTAACATAGGGTATGTTCATTCAAAATAAAATGTATAAAATCCAGACCGTATTTTATGTAGGTTTCATAGTCTGTCTGTATATTTATACAAGATATATTGATTTACCTGATTGCAAGTGGCTCCGTTCATACAGGGCCGGGACTGGCACTCGTCTATATCAACTTCACAATGTTTGCCGGCGAATCCGCTTGCGCACACGCAGTTGTAGTCACCGATACTGTCCAGACACGTCGCGCCGTTCTGACACGGGACTGGGGGAATAACAATATAAATCACAACCACGATCACATAAAGGTTGGTCAATTTTATAGCTAATTTAAATGATGTCTGGCAACGATAATTTTTATTTTTATTATACCACAATTGTAAATGCGTTGCCTACTTTTAACTGACATAGGAGGTGACGAACAGAAAGAGAATATTGCCCTTTCATAAGTGTCTCCTCCAGTAACTCCACTTTCCCTTCATATTCTTTCCTTATACGAAAAAAGTGGGAAAGGAAAGAGGACTAATATTAGTCCTCCGGCACACAGTCATCAGGAAAAACAAAGAAGTTGTTACTGGCCTCTGTTAATTAATAGCATATTATATAAAAAAAAATGTTAACTCACAAGAAGCGCAGTCGTCAGTGTTGATAGCGCAGTCTCTGCCCTCGTATCCTCTAGCACAGAGACAGGCGTATGACCCGGCGGTGTTGACGCACGTGGCTGCGTTGTGACACGGCGCTGAGGCCGCGCACTCGTCCACGTCGCGCTCGCACAGCGCGCCCGCCCACCCCGCGCCGCACGCACATGTGAACTCCGCGTATGAGGCCTCCGCCACGCACCGACCGCCGTGACGACATCTACAATACGAATAAATAATTAATAACATAAGTAAGAAGAAAAACGACAAAATGGCGACAATCAAATACGCACAAAATTTTACGGTTTGTAGCCTGTCCATATATTAAAGATTATGGGTATTTTACCTTTGCTTTTGCCAAAAAAATATATACGGTTGTACTTATTGACATTTTACCTTTGTCTCTTACAAAAAAAACATATAACGGTGGACTTAGTCCTGTTTTACCTTTGTTTTTTACAAAAAAAAGTAAATAGTGGTGTACTGACTGGTTGGGCAGGCAGGGATCGAGCGTATTCTCGCAGTTGCGGCCGGAGTGCGGCGGCGCGCACACGCACCGGTACCCGTTCACCAGGTCGATGCAGGAGCCGCCGTGTAGGCACGGGTTGCCCGCGCAGTCGTCGATGTTCGTCTCGCAGTTCACACCTAATAAAAAAAATATTAGTACTCCAACTAGCCTGCAGAGTGTCATACTAAAATGGTACTGGAACTTGTGAATAAAAAAATTACAGGTAACTACAGTAAAATGGCTGTTTCTGAATCAATTTAACAATCATAGAAAAAAAATCTAACTATAGTCAAACAAAGATACCCGAACCGGTAAGAGGCGATGCTATCGCGATTGCCTCAGTCAGAATATATACAAAACCTACTTAGACATAGAAAATAAGATTAAAAAACAAAATGACATGTCAGCTACAGTACAAAGACCGAAGGGCGCTAGTGTGCTGTCATAATTTAGTTTGACATAATTAAATCGAAGTTACTTATTTTATTACTATAATTTCAGCCTGTGACTTTCTATATTAGGTGACATTAATTTTAAATAATTTCGTTATATTTACTGACCAGTAAATCCGAGTACGCAGTCACATTTGTATGCATTAAGACGATCATGGCATGTCCCGCCGTGCTGACAGGGATTCGAACTGCACTCGTCTATATCACGTTCGCAACGTTGACCTATGAACATAAATAAAAAAAAATAATGTAAAATACCTAAAGAGCGGCAACTTAAATTCGTTGAAATAACGAAACGATGCCCATAGGTATTGCAGTTTCAGATTGCTTGCCTTGCTCTTGCTTTAATCGACAAGGAGGGATACAGAAAAGGTATATTTCCCCTTCCCACGTGTTCTATACATCCTAATCAAAAGTTGAAGTATCAATCTTCTTACTAATATATATACGAATGATAAGATGTTTGATAGAAGATATCTCCAGATCAGCTGCAAAGATTTTGATGAAATTTGGCATACATGTAGAACACAGTCTGAAAGGACACATAGGTGCGGGCTCGCGGGATACAACTAGTTTAACTATAGTCTTTACCTCCATATCCTGGTAAACAATGACAGATGAATTGGTTGACACCATCTTCACAAGTCCCACCGTTGATGCAAGGGTTTGAAGCGCATTCGTTGACGTCTGACAAACATCTGTACAAAATAAGTTATTGATAAGTTTCATAAAATCACAATGTTGTACAAAAAAATCTGAATAGCTTTCAATTTTATGAGCTTGTCATATATATTTGCGGCTCGACACATTCAGTGTTGTTGAGCTGGTGAGATATTTGAAGCGAGGTATACCTAGCGTCGTAGTACCCCCTGGGGCACTCGCAGCGGAAGCCGTTGATGCGGTCGATGCACTTGCCGCCGTTGGCGCAGGGGTTGGACAAACATTCGTTGATGTTGGTCTCGCAGTGCTGGCCAGTGAAGCCGGGGATGCACTCGCACGTGTATCTGCTCAACGAGACATGCTCCAGTCACTTCTACTCATCATCACATATCTTTGTTAACCTATAATGTTGTGTTTTGTTTTTGTTTTCACACTGGCATAAGGTTCATCTTCTAATATTGTAAATGGGAATGTGTAGATGGATCCATCCATCCGGATGGATGTTTGTCAAAAGGTATCTCCAGAACGTCTCAACGGATCTCGATAAAATTTGACATAGATGTAGAACATACTCTGGAAGAACACAGCTACTTATGAAGCCTTGGGCGACAGTTAGGAAGACATAAGACCGGAATCGTACGAACAACGCTCGGCGGTCGCTTCAGAGCGAGACAAACGTTTGGGAAATATGTTTGTCTCGCTCTGGAGCTACTGCTTGAGTTGTTCGTACGATTCCGACGTATGTCTAAATGAACCTTTCCTACTTCAAGTAAATGATGTGTTTATTTTCTTAACAGCTTGAGTAGTGGATATTACTCTATTAGATATTGGTAGAATAAGACCTATCGTCCTTAATATTACGTCTAGTTTGAACAAAAGCTCAAGTGATTATTGTCATTGTCTTGCGTATGGTAGTGTTCTGGGTGTGTGGAAGGTGTTGGTGAGATGTTACCTGTTGATGCCGTCAATGCAGGTGGCTCCGTTTCTGCAGGGGTTGGAGTAGCACTCGTTCACATTGATCTCACAGTTGCGGCCCGAGGTGCCCGGCTTGCAGCGGCACTGGTACCCGTCTATTAGATCCTCGCAGTGACCTGGATATAGGAGACAGTGAATGTAACATTGGGTTTATCGAAAATCCACGTTTAAAACATATTGCTATCTCTGTTTTGTTAAAGATAATGACAGGGATGACGATATGTTTTATACAGATATTTTGGTCTCAGAAACCAACGATATGCGGTACAATTTAGTACTTACTTACTATTTTTACTTAATTATTTTGTGTAAGTAATATTATATTGTAATTTTGAATGTCGTTGACAATAGTAAAGTACCTTAAACTTATTTAGGAGTAAGTTTGGTATGGTCCTTCGAGCCGGATTCATAATAAACGTTACGTATAAGTTTAGTTAACTGACCTCCGAACTGGCAGGGGTTTGACTCGCACTCGTTGATCTGCGTCTGACACACTCTGCCGGTGTACCCTGGGTGGCAGTTGCAGGTGAAGCTGTTATCACCGTCGATGCACTCTCCGCGGTGGCATGGCGCTGACAGGCAGTCGTTGATGTTGGTCTCGCATGACATACCTGCGGGGACACCGGCTTTAGCGACCGGTCGTACAGACCAGCTTTGCGTGTTACGGTAAATGTGGGAAATCCGACGATATGCTTAATTACTGGTTAGAGTTAACTTCTCATAAGAACTAGAGATAAATTAAGTTCTTTAATTATTCAATATGTTGGTGATTTTACCAATAATTTTCTGATTAATCACATATACCGTAACGAATATAAAAATTTCTAGATAGATCAAAAACAATGTGGTAGTAGAACCAAAATGTCTATACTTTTGGAGACGATAATTACTATATACAGTCCAAAAGTGTGTACATAGATGTCAATACTTTTAACATAGTATATGTATTTATACAGACCAGTATATCCTGGAGGACACTCGCATGTGTAGCCGGCGATGGAGTCGTGGCAAGTTCCGCCGTTACGACAAGGACTGGAGGCGCAGTCGTCGATGTTAACCTGACAACGCGCGCCTGTGAAACTGCAACATACGTAATACATATTATAAAATATACAGTTATGTATAGGGTTATAGGGCGAACTGTTTGAAGACTTTCATTGAAATAAAAGGAGGAGACATAATCTGTTATTTTAGAAGTTTGGCCATAGTTGAAATAGCTGTTTATTGGAAATAGGTATTAAGTAAGTTACCCGATGACACAAGTGCAGCGGAAAGCATTGATCATGTCGTGGCAAACGCCCCCATTGAGGCAAGGGTTATTCGCGCACTCGTCGATCTCAACCTCGCACTGCGTTCCAGTAAAACCTGAGGAAAAATAAAGAAAAACTTGAGTAAAATAAAGGAAAAAATTTCATACTTGAGATCAAAGATAAGTTACTTAGGTCGTATATTATTGCGACGAGGAAGACCTAGAGAGACCCAATAAATTATCAGTTCTAATCTAGGTGAATCTAAAAACGCTACCTCGACATTATCAAGGAGACTTTATTAAATGTACATAACTCATCGTGTTTCAAACAGACATGCTAGATCATTTTTAGTATTAGATTTTTTATCTTAGTATCCTGCCTACCCTAAAGGGCGATATATGGAGCGTTTTATTTGTGATAGTGCTCGATTGGATGCAAGGTTCCCCCAAAGTAAATCCCCAAATCCCCGTCCCTACTATCTTACTCTTACTAATATTTTAAATGTAAATGTTTAGATGGATGGATGTTTGTTTGAAGGTATCTCCAGAATGGCTTAATAAATTGGTCTTATATATAAATCATAATCTGGAAAAACACATAAGCTAACTATATTTATTTAATGCCGCGCGGACGGAGTCGCGGGCAACCGCTATATGTGATATTTCAAAGTTAAATCGTTCGTTAAGTGAATCAAATATTCTGAGAAACAATTTCAAAATGGCTACTTCCTTATTGAATAACAAAACAGTACCCAATTTGCAATACATGCATTGGACGGTCGTATACTGTCAGTCAGTCAGTCAGTCAGTCAGTCAGTCAGTCGGTATAGAGTTTGTGGTGAAATTATACATCGCTTCTCCTTAGACTGACTTGACGGTTAACAAGATGGATGGTACTTATCTGATTTAGATAAGAAACAATTATTATGGTTACGAAATAATAGACATTCGAATTAGCTAAGCTAATTTTCGAGAGCCAAATACTTTTTTTGGGTTTTTGTTACATATTTTATTTCTTAATTTTGTTGAATGAACCAAATAAATACGTAAACTAAACAAATTAAAAACTTTTACAGACAAACATATAGACATTAAATTTGATGCTTTAGGTTTTTATTACGTTACTAGCTGTCGCCCGAACTCCGTTCGTTTGGAATGAATAAAACTTAATTATGTAATTCCCGGCAAATATTCCATCATTCCTCACCTTTTAAACCTTAACTAGACCTTCACGAACATTTCAAGTAAAAGATAAGATCATTTTTAGCCAGACTAACGAACAGCAATTAATATATATATACTAGCTGACCCGACGGACGATGTCTGACAATTTGACATTGCGATGGTAGCGCCGTCTGTCGGATCCAATGTAAAACATTACAAAATCAACAACTACTAATAAATTAAAAATTAATTAAAAAAACATTGTCCAGCGGACAAAATTGTGAATCTAAACCATTCCCAGATCCCCTTGAACACACACAAAAAATTTCATCAAAGTCGGTCCAGTCGTTTGAGAGAAGTTCAGTGACATGCACACTCACAGAAGAATTATATATATAAAGATATAGATTACTTTTTTAAAAGATATTTGTTCAGTAGAGAGCCACTTTCTCCAATCGGTTACGTAACATTAAACAATTCTACCACAATGTTTTTGTCAGTATATAGCCACAAGGAAACGTATACAGTAGAAAATTAAAAACTGCAACTCAACAAACCATATTTGGATAAAGGAATCCCGTGCAATGAAACAACAAACATATCTCCAACAATTTAGAATATAAAATTGAATGATCGACGTCTGTCTATGTCGGGATAATCTAGCACAGACAGCCGTCTAGAGCTATAAGTCTAAACATTCAAAATTGATCTTTATTACCAGTAAATAAAGCACAAATTAAATTGACAGAAACTTTTATAAAAAGTCTTTAATAATTCCAACAGAAATCGCTATCCCGCCAAAAAGGGAATGCGGTCCCGGACTTTCGTTTATATAATCGTCAATTAACATTTCTCCGGTCTCAGACGACTTTATTTCTATTAGCATAAAGTTTGTTTTGCAATACGTTTTGATGTCGATCGTCTCAGACGGAGTTGGAATTTAAGGGCATTTCAAACAATACTTGTGATATCTTAAATGCTTTTACCTTAAGTGGGATAACCATATTTAAACATTGGCTTTGCTTATTCTTTGTTAAATGTATTGTAATAAAATTTTAACGAGCCAGTGTTAGCAAGTTAATAAAACTTTAACTTGCAAATAGCTACGAAAGTATAAGTTTTGTTACTTCAAGATGATTACCTAAATAAATACAATGATATTACTAATATTATAAATGCGAATGCTTAAATGGATGGAAGTTTGTTTAAAAGTAACTCTAGAACATTTGCATGGATCTCGGTGAAATTTGGCATAGATGTAGGACATAGTATGTAAGAACACATAGGCTACTTGTTAAGTTTTTTAAAAATACGCGCGGACGGAGTATCAGGCGACAGCTACTTTAAAAATAATAATATTAAAACTTTCAGAAACTCTATAATTTAGTTAAATATAAATCAATTGATCACCAACGAAACATGTTTTTAAAGCGCTATAAGTGCATTTCTTTCAATTTAGTCAATTGAGGTCTATAATTATTATACAAAATTGATACTGGCATGAAATAATATAATTGTATACAATAAAACAATATTTCAAATAGTTATTTTGGATTAGGGTTGCCATGTCTCCAAACTTAATAGCCGGAGAGACCACCCAGTGTTGCCGGACATTTAGGTAGAAAGACCGGACACCCTACATTATTAACGATTTTGTATCTCCCGCCGCATGTGCTCGCTCGCGTTTGCGAAATGTAAAAAGCCGGACAACACAGATACTATTTTGACCGGACACGCAATCAAAAAGCCCACCTATGCCCGGCTTTATCCGGACACCTGGCAACACTATGTGGGATAATAAATAGCTTATACTTGTTTGTATAACCGCTACGGGCCATTGGACATTGTCGTATTTACGGAATTGGTGACTGGGGTTACCACACCCAGTGCTTTAGCGTTAATCGTGTGGTCCAAGTTACAAGATATTGACTTTCTGTATTTAAAACTGTTATTACCAATCATCAATACAGTTACAAATTTAGAATAGAAGGTGTTTTGAATTTCGAAGTAGAAGTAATTAAGGAATAATTTTTAATTTCTTAATTATGTCGCTAACGAATCTTTGTAGCTTAAAGACACTATAGGCTTCATAACCTTAGTCTTCTCAAATGATTATGAAACTAAAACAAAGGCTTATTTAAATTCATATCGTCATTTCAGTTCCTACAGAGTTGTTATTACCATCTGACCATATTTTAGCGTTGTATCAACTCTATGTATGTCCGTAATCCGCTGTCTGCTATAACTTGATCCGTGTTCTGAACTGTCACGATTTGAGATCAGAATGCACAATGGAAATGACCAGCGCATGCTAATGTTACCTTTATGCGCATATTTGAATGTTTAATACGAGTTTTAGTTATACGCGTGACTAAATAGCTTGCGCATAACTGGGATATAAATATAAAAAGGTTTGCTGACGTAAAGTTTATAAAGAATATGAAATAGAGCTTAACTATTTGGTTGTCCAATTGTTTTAACTCCAAGAGAAAGATTCTTATGTGTAATTTATATAGGTGTTATATAAACACTAGTTGTCGCCCGCGACTCCGTTCGCGCGTAATCAAAATACTTAATAAGTAGCCTATGCGCTCTTCCAGACTTCTATATCTGTGCCAAATTTCATCAAGATCCGTTGAACTGTTCCGGAGACATCTAAGAAAGACTCGTGTTAGTTACACTATTTATAACTCAAGAACAGCTTTACCGATATGGCTGAAAATTGGTGAGGAGGTAGCTTAGAGCCAGGACACGGACATAGGATACTATTTAATCTTTTTTTCGAATATATGCCTTGAAAAGTTGCTTTTATATATCCGAGCGGACGGAGTCGCGGGCGACAGCTAGTTTTAATATAAAACATTGATGTAAAATATATTGATACATAGTTCTCTGTTTATTCTAAAACCCGTTGAATAGATTTGCAGCAAGAAGTTCGTATTCTAAACCGCTTGGGGCGTCCCACGTCTCAGTTTATGGGAATGTTGCGAGACTTGACTTTGAAATGGAAAAGAATGTTGCTCCGTAATCAAGGCAGATTTATGGCGCTGCTAAAACTGATGCCAATATAATGCAATTAAGTATTACTGGAAAGGTGGCTAGTTTACAGTTTATCGTAACACGTAATTTTGTATTTGCAAAACTCAAACGAGATATAAGTGAAGGCATAAATAAGGTATCATTTCATTTTACATAAAAATGTTAACGAAAATACAATTACGAACTTTTGTACAAAATTTAAAATCACCAAAAGGTGAAATTATGCTAATTCTGGCACCCATCGCTGTGTCACCGTTAAATTAAGACTTACAAGATTGTTTCCGTTATAGCAGCTGTACCTTAAATTGTCGATGTCGACAACCAATAAAACGGTAGCTATTAAATTACAACCGTCCGTTGCCAAGTCGGGATCGTAGCAGCAAAAACCGGGTGCAAAGTACTAGTCGACATATTTTATTGTTATAAAAAAATTATCGTCGTACCGCGTTTGCCCTTATTAGTCCACCCACCGGCTGGACGGGTCCGCGAGCACTCGTGCATGATACAAGTGATATACGAGCAAAACGAAACGTCGCCTTTTATAACTATACGCGTCTCGAGAAAGGGCTATTTAATTTAACCGGGTTGCAAGTCACTTGCGCCTAGTATTATCCAACTAAATTGAAGAGTTATAGATTCTTAAGGCATTGTATAATAAAAGGGTCTTCGTAATTTATTCGGATAGTAATGTGGGAGAGGGGTAAGGCAGGTCGTTCCAATGAGTGGTCTCGTCCACATCATCGTGTTCGCTGACATCTTTTGTACGTATAATAATGTGATGGGGTATTCATAACGCATGAACCTTTCAAGGAACTAAATATCACTTGTCCGAGTGAGGGCATTGAATTATGCGAGCTCATATTTCAAAACCGCGAACATATATTAACAAGAACATAGAATAGTATAGCTACATTTTTTTTAATTAGTAATTTGAGATGCAACTTATCTATATATATAAAAAACAATTGCTGTTCGTTAGTCTAGCTAAAACTCGAACTGATTTTTGGTATAGATGTAGAACATAGTCTGGAAGAACACATAGGCTAATTATGTTTTTTTTTTAATTACGCGCGGACGGAGTCGCGGTCAACAGCTAGTTAATAATAAATATTTATAATAAAACTCTCTCCTTTTTAAAAGTCCTAGATTTAAAATACAATTTATAGTTTTTAGGTCAAGCGATATAAAAGGAGGTACTAAAGAAGGCGTTATCATTAGATTTTGGCGTGGGAAGAAACATTACGAATCTTGGTGTTAACGTAAAAGTGATTTGAATTGCAAATTACGAGCAAATTATTTCGATACAAATTAAGATAAGAGATAAGATTGAAAAGGAAACATTGAATCTAGAATCTTATTTGTAGAGATATAAGATTCAAATTGCTAATTGCATAGCGTAAGATAGTTCATAGCGGTGGCAAAAACATAGACATGCAAATAGATAATTATCCAATCAGCAAATTCGTACAATTTTTAAATAGCGAAAAGTAACTTTAATGCAATAGATTTAAAGATGCATTTGCATTGTTTTTGTTAAAGGTAACGTTTCCTAGTCAACACAATGCGCGGTTTCTCCGACTCATGGGAATGCGTTCAAAGTTGAACGTCTTACCTAAATAAAATATATGACGTAATTATTATCTTTTAATATCATTGAGGATATTTTAAAAAGACTAACGTTATCTATTTTTTTTTTAATATTAGTCAATTATAGTGTGTCTATTTAAGATAGACTGCCGCCTATGAAGTATCGAATTAATTTTGTCATCATCATCATCATCAACCTGCCCTTATCCCTATCGAGGGTCGGCACAGGATGTTCTACTCCTCCATACATCTCTATTAGCCGTCATATCCGAGTCTACCTCCTTCTTACGCATATCCTCTTTCACACAGTCATTCCATACTTTTTTTGGTCTTCCTCTACCCATGTAGCCATCCACATTCAATCTCATCGAATTAATTGTTGTATGAAGATTAATGTACTTTTCGGATGGTTGTCATAGTGTCGGACCTTACGCGAACTATCGAGAATCGATCTTGCAATAATATTAACAGAACAAATAAATACTATGACTTGGGTATTTTATTACTTTTTGATTTGAAAATATTTGCATGCAATTTTAAGAACTGTGTTTACTATATCTATCTCTTCCTCGCTATGTCGTCTTACTCCAACGATAATGACAATCATCAGTCGGTCATCAGGCTGTCGAGTGGAACAAATTGTCCTAGGTGGCCCATGTTTACCGTAACACGGAAGTCTTTCAATGATGTTAAAGTACTTGAAGATTACACATGCCATTTTCTTTTATAATATTGTTTTCGCAATATTGAGGTGAAGAAAACTAGACATAATTTAATATTATTTTATATAAGTTAATTTTTTGTTAATTGAAAAACAGGAATATGTCCATTTTATGTTGAAAAAACACGTCTTAATGATAATGAATGTGATTTTGACAAAGATATAATATAAAATTAAACGAGTCTTAATACTTAGGTACCAGGAACACAGACAGTTGCAGTAGTCAGATAATATTAAGTATGTGGACGAAGAATAATTGAAAGAGTACTTACCAGGCATGCAGACGCAGCGGAAGGTACCCGGGTCATCAAGACAGGAGCCATCATTCCTGCAGGGATGACTCTCGCACTCGTTGACGTTGGTCTCACACCGCGGCCCCGTGAATCCAACAGAGCAGTTACATGCGAAGGATCCCGGTGTGTTAACACAAGTGCCATCATGTTCGCATGGAGAACCTGAGAAAATAAGTAAGTAATAAGTTTTCCTTCAGCGTAAGAACGTCTGATAAATGTACATATGTTAATCGAAAAACACATTGTTACATGGCGGGATTCGAACCCAGGACTAGTAAATTACAAGTCAAATGCTTAACTCCTGAGTCACCAAAGCACTTGATATTGTTGGTTAAAATAAAATAACAAAAGAATTTGTATATTACCTTGTTCACATTCATTGATGTCTTCCGAGCAATCGAGACCCTTGTAGCCGGATGCGCAGGAGCAAGTATAGGAACCGTTGATAGGACTCGTGTCGCAGATGGCGTCAGCATGGCAAGGGTTGGAAGTGCACGCGTCGTCCAGATGACAGAGGAGACCTGGAGACACATTGTCATGAGACGATGAAAAAGACTTAAGTATACGTACCTCTCATCTATTTTAAATTAAATCAAAATATTAAACTAAATGTACTAACTGTAACTAAATGTATGGTTTGAACTTACCCGTCTTTCCCGGAGTACATTTGCAGTAAAAAGCACCAACTCTGTCTATACAAGTTGCACCATTGAAGCACGCAGCACCAGCGCAATCGTCGATGTTCACAGAGCATTCAGGTCCTGTCCATCCGTTGACACAGATGCAAGAGAATCCACCTACCGAGTTGGTACATGTCGCGCCGTTCTGACACACCAAGGGTCTAAAGACAAAATATTATTTATGAATGAAAATAGATAATTTAAGGTTGAAAATATATGATAAAAGATATTTAAGAGTATGCTAAGTGCTGTTATTTTCAGAGAGGTTCTCTCATTAAACGTTCAGGGACAAAAACTTAGTGAAGTGAGTTACTCTTGATCTGAATTTAAATTCCTTGCAAAATTTTAAGGTTAAATTTAAGGCAGTATTCCTGTATGCGGTCACTGTGTTTGAAGGAGAAATTAACAAAAAAACTTGGACAGGCTTCTTCAGTGCGTAAGGCGGTTGCTTTCAAGTTTTTAATATCACTTATTAGCGAGTTAGTTATTTTTTCTCAAAAAATGTTCTCCGCTGTACGTCTTATGAATTTCGAGAATTTTCCACGCACTGCTTTGTAATCATGATTTTTTTTTGTTATTATTATAATTATAAGACGTACAATATTAACCAAGACTTATAAAACTCAATTGAAGTTCCCAGTATTTTATGTAGCCGGTGTTATTTTTAAAATTTTTCATCTTTAGCAAGACTTAAGTCATAAGCTTTAACATGTAAAATTAACAAAAAATAACAAAGTCCCAAATAAGGATAAAACGAAAAAATCTTGACCATTCTAAATTGTATTGAGTCATAGAACAAGTATAGCAAATAGTAAATAAAGCAAATTAAACAAGACAAAATACAATAAGGAAAAAGGTCAATGGCTAAGATAAGGTTTCGTAGTCGTTGTTTCGCAATACACAGAGCGGGCGCGGCGCGTGCGCCTGCGCAGAACATACACTATCAGATACGAAACAGTCCGATATTACCAAACTGGGCGTGGCAATCTTATTAATAGTAAACATAATTTATTTGAATCTGTCAAATTATATAGAAATACCCTACAAAGTTCCCGTTTATTGTATTTTAAAGTTATCTTACTAATATTATAAATGCGAATGTTTGGATAGATGTATGGATGTTTGTTAAAATATATATACAGGTCGACTGAATGGATCTTGCTGAAATTCGGCATAGTTGTAAAACATAGTCTGGAAGAAAACATAAGCTACAAATTAAGCTTTTTTTAATTCCTCGTAATAATGATTTTTTTCATGATATATTTTTAACGTTCGATTTTAGACAATTTTAAATAGATACGTTCTAAACCTAACCTTATTTGCTAACACACGTGAACGAACACACAACTGCGACAGTACAATAAATATGTAACAACTTCAAAGAAGTTGTAAATCAAATCTCGACACAAAGCACAAACTTAAGTTAAGTAAACATGTCATAAGCGTATAGCGATTCTCTTTTTTTTTTGTATAACCAATAATTTATATTATAATAAGACCAGATTTTTTTTTATTAGACAAAAACATTTTTACTGATGAGACCTCTGTATTCTGTGCTAGGCATAACTTATGATACAGAAGACAGACTTTTGTAGACTTGGTTGAATAATTGTACGCAGATTTTACATATGCAGATACATTGATTGGAACTAAATACTGAACTGACTTAAGAAGTCTTGTAACATAACATTAAGTAACTCTCAAGTGCCCATAAAACAACGTAACGACAGTACCTAAGTAAGGTTGTCAAAAAAAAAATTTAACTGTGTATATTGTCAAATCGCTATCGCTTATAACTTGAATTGTAAACCCCTGGAAGGCAATTTAATATTCGGAATAGGCTCTTCGAGCGTAAATCTCGATTGAGTACTAATAAATTGTCGACTTTTAAACCCCATTGACTCGGGTCATGTAAAATCTCTAATAAAACGTCTGTGTTAGGCTTAGGATTACTCTAAACTTGTCAACGTATAAATCATAAGTTTAACTATGAAATTATACAACTATATTGTAATTGTTGAGATTCTTAAATTAGTAATATAGAATGTTTTATTTCGCATATTTCAATTGTGTTTGTCATAAAAAATATAGATTACTACAACCTATAATTTTGGTGGTAACTTAACAAATGATGAGCCTAAAATTATCAATTATAAACAGTCCTTTTTAGTAATAATTTTTTAAACAGACGATTAATCGTGGGTTTCCGAGACCAGTATAAATGTACAAAACATTTTGTTATCTCTGTTTTGTCATAAATAACAGAGATTCTAGTCTCAGAAACCAACGATTAATCTAACAGATTAATTATTAGAATGTGATATAAATTAAACCTGAATACGATACGTTTAATTACAAAACCTCGTTACGTCCGTTAAGTTTTCGCAAGACTCGTTTATTTTGGTTAGCATAAAGCAAATGTTATGAAATCGAGATGCCGCGAATCAAGATGGCGGACCTTCGTTACCGAATCCGGAACGTTGGAGAGACGTAGCGATTTATTGCATCTTAAGGATATATTAAATATAACCAAACTATATTGTGGGACATTCTCACGATTATATTTGTAGTTATTGGTAATAAATCATATAATATTTCGTCATTGTTATTAATATAGACAAGATAGTACGACAAAAAATAACACTAACAACTTAGTACGAAGTAATTTACGAAAATTATAAGGAATATCGAAATGTTCTCAATTAACTCTTTTAAATCTTGATTGCTTGAAATGACCGCAATATGACAAAAATGGATCTAATAATATTGTAGTTTGAAGTGATTTGCTATTTTTGAACAAGGACAGAGCTAAAGTAGAACTTAATTTTAACACTTTATTAAGAATTAACATTTAAAATGTTGTAATAAGTCTAAAATCTATATATTATATATAAAAGAAAGTCGTGTTAGTTACACTATTTATGACTCAAGAACGGCTTTACCGATATGGCTGAAAATCGATGAGGAGGAAGCTGAGAGCCAGGAGTCGGACATAGGATACTATTTATTCATTTTTTTCGAATTTATGCCTTGAAGAGCAGCTTTTTATTTAACTTACAAATATTATAAATGCGAATGTTTAGATGGATGTGATGTGGATGGATGGATGGATGGGTGTTTGAAGATATCTCTAGAACGGCTGAACGGATCTTGCTTAAATTTGGCATACGTATAGAACATAGTCTGAAAGAACACATAGGCTACACTATACATAGGCGACAGCTAGTACTTTATAAATATAAGACAAGTTTTTGAGAATATAACACGAAATTTCTTACATGAGAAGCCAAATTATTAATGCTTAATACAGTTAACTTCCGGTGTGTTATTGTTAAATGGCAGGAGCCAATTTAGTGCTGTAAAACAACGAGTAATTGAGACTCGACAATATTGCAGATTCAACCTTCATTGTTTCTTGGAAGTTAATATATCATGTTACATCTTTTAAACCGTAAGTTTGAGATGGCATTTTTTTATCTGAGTCGCATGTTTCTTATTTATCAAATTAACTGTGGGTTTCAGAGACCAAAATCTCTGTATAAAACATATCGTCATCCCTGTTATTATCTTTGACAACAGGGATATCAATATGTGTTATACATGTTAGGAAGAAAATCCGACACAGTGCCGGTGTACTGGCGCAACACTAGCTTTACTAAAATGTTGACGTTTATGTACCTTCATTAATCATTCTGACATTTGTCTTTGTATTAAAAGCGCGTCATTCGCGTCAAAGGATTCTAACTATTGTCTAAAAAAAAATATAAATATTTGGAGCCGAAATTTAGTTTAACTAATATCAAAGTAATAGCATAATTAGGAATAAAATGTCGGAAATATGTTAGTTATATCTTTGTGGACCAATATTAAAGATGTATGTTTGTTTATGATAAACTAGCTGTCGCCCGCGACTCCGTCCGCGTTGATATATAAAAAACTTAATTATATATCTTGAAACACCCATCCATCCATTCACATCACATCCATCTAATCATTCGCATTTATAATATTAGTAAGTTAAATAAAAAGCAGCTCTTCAAGGCATAAATTCGAAAAAAAAATTGTATCCTATGTCCGTTTCCTGGCTCTAAGCTACCTCCTCACCAATTTTCAGGCATATCGGTAAAGCCGTTCTTGAGTTATAAATAGTGTAACTAACATGACTTTCTTTTATATATATATAGATAGATGTTACTCAATTGTCTAAGACACTAGACAATGATATTCCCTATTATTCTCAGAACAGATATAACAATAATTTCTTATGAATATTGACAGTGGAAGCCTACTATTATCTCTATAATAAAACGTTAGTAACATCACAATAAAAGGACATACCAATTTGCAACTTTCAGTATATATCATTCACGGTCACCAATTAATCTTCTTTATAACAATAAGAATCAAGATGGCGGCGTCTTTGTGTAATTTGTAACAAACATAGCGCAGTATATATATTCAATTTGGCGATTATCGAGCAAACATTAATCACTCGATGGATATCGATATCGGATAATCGATGTTCTTGTTTCCCGGCCGCTAGTTGTTAGAGGCAAGTATCCGATTGAAGTTTCTTGTCCCTGTTAACTTTCCCGCGTAGCCGAGGGAGCTTGTTCCGATTTATAGATTAATGGTGGATTGGTTTACGGTAAATTATTTTATTGATTACACTGAGAAGCTCTTAGACTACTAGAGTGAATACTAAAGTACACTAGAGAGACGTGGATTGGAATCAAAACTTATAATTAATTTATAAGCTACTTTTATCGGCACTGCATAAATTGGAATGTCGGTAACAATTGAGTGTGAATGTGTTCTAAGCATTTAAAAGAACAAAATCATCAAATGACGGCCTGTATAAAATGGTCTCAATGCTAACACGTTATAAATCTCACTCGTAATTGGCCTAAATTTTTTCACAATTAGAGGCAATTACACACGCGTTCATATCATCGTTGTAAGGCGAAACATTCAATGCGCCATTTTAGGGCTGAGAGAATTTTTTAACAGATATAAGAAAACATAAAAGCAGTAATATTTTCAAACTAAAATTTAACTTTAGGAAATTTTAATTAATATTAATAATTGTTGGTTTCAAAAAGAAAATCTCTGTATCAAACATTCATGCCTTTATCTTTAAAACAACATTTTAAACGGGGAATTTGATCGCCGAAACCGACGGTGAATCGTTCTAACTTAGATTAAACTTAGATGACGTAAACTTGTGGACTAAAAAGGTCAATTTTTGATTACACTTACTAACTTAATTATTAGGTATTAGGTGTATATAAAAGCTTCTTTACATATTAAGATTGTGATGAATTTAGGGTATTTTTGAGTATCGAATAATACTTATAATCAGACGACCTTATTAACCCTTAGTTAATAAAATCAATATTTAACTTTACAATTAAGATAAGACAAGTAGAGTTCAAATTATCACTTTAGTTGTATATGGAACGCAATGCATGTTTATTCATTGAATTTGTTTTAAAACGATCACAGTGGAAGCCATTCCTATTAATTAAATTTATAGATTCGTATGTGTAAGAGGGTCGTTATTTAAAAAGAAACTTCGATTTATCTTGAATACCATAGTTAAACGGGAGAGAAAACTCGGTGGCCGATGAAAGTTAAATTTAAATTAATGTCTGATAAATTCAGTCTACTAGATAAGGCTCCACATAATCTTAAGTTAAACTTTCACGTCGTTTGTATCTGGATGGACAGAGAGTTATTTGAAAACTGTATTTAGAAAGGATCAAATGAAAAAAAATGTTTTATTAATTATATTACAAAAATAATTAGGGCACATCTTCATGCAATATAACAACATCGAAGATCCCTTTGTCGGTTTTCAATAGTTGCATCGAAACTTCCCATTTACAAAATTATTGTTCATTCTGTTCAACATAAAAACGTTATGATGCCCCTTTACCACTTACGACTCAATGGAGACTGGAGTAATGCACCGAATAAAAACACAACGTCTTGAGACGTAACCCGATATCAAGCACGCATTTATCTGTTTCGTTTCACAAGCCAAGCCCGGATTGTATGACGCTCTCCCATAATGTAAGACAACATTCAAAAAACAACTCTAACCCGTTAGTATAAAGATGATATTCGAAAATAAATTCCGTCCGTAGAACATGTAAAATAAGTCGAAGTACAGAGCGGTTAAGCGTGTAGTGCTCGACGTTAAAGTAGATTGCACATTGAACGTTATAGGTATTAAAATAAAATCTATAATCGTATAAAAATGCGATACAATTTAGTGATAATGCGTTTTGAACGCATCTACAGCGGGCGGACCCGCCGAAATATTAATAAGACATAAAGGATTTCAAATAAAGGACAAAAACAAGCAAATCTCTTTCGGTACTGTCTCTTGAAAGGCAGTTTTTTCTTTCTTTTCCTATTGAAGATTCCTTCTGAGTGGTCAAAGTTCTTTCGCAAAATTCATAAATAATTATAAAGTCATTAAATTTCAAAAGTATGTCGTAAAAATAATAATTTCCCTAAACATAGCAAAATTAAAATAATTTAAAAGGCTTCAAATCAATAAAACCTTCTCCAGGAAGCGCGAAACCTTTTGTTTTTTTATAAAACCGACGATTTTTTTTATGATACACGGCTTCCTTACGGTGGCTTAATTTATATTTTTGTGATATTTGCTATTGAAATATTTTAAAATTTGATCAACTAGCTGTAGACCGCGACTCCATCCGCGAGGAATAAAAAAATAAGTCGATATGTTCTCCCAGACTATACTCTAGATCTAAGCTGAGGTCCTAGGAGATCAATTTAGCCGTTTTAAAGATGTCGCGTAACAAAAATCCATCCAACTAAACATTCGCATTTATAATATTAGTAAGATAAACACAAATAACATAGTACGCTATGAAAAATAAATACGATACTTAAATCCGCTAAATATTACTTAAGTTAAGAGGTCACTGACTTATCAATGGATTATTATCTAATTAACACTTAATACTACGCATAGTTCAAAAGATAATTAACTAATTGTTGGATAATATTACATGATTAGACAACTCTTTATGTTGTCAATTTTTTGTACCAAAGAATATATTGAATAGATTTACAATTTATCTTCTGCATATTTGTAATTAAGTGACAAGCTAAAATATACTTTAGTTCGTTGTAATAAGCGTCATTAGCAATAATATTGATAGGATATGTAACATTGTTTTCTGATCTTATTACACATGTATGCAATTTAATTAGACATGTCGATTGTTTGACAGCCGAAAAGTAAGCTTTAACTTGAAATGGAACTTTATTTAAATGACATAAGGTTCATATTTGTATAGCAATTCGGAGTAATAAGTCAGAGTCAATTACGCAGACTGGCGAAGGATATGTTTTAAATTGATACAGTATACATAACTGTATTAATATGGTCGTGTGAGAAGTAAATTGTAATGAAGCCGGCAATGGACGTTGTACATAACAAAGTTTCATACGTCGCTGACAAAATTAACTTAAAGCTTTCACTTGCGTCACTCGGTTTCCGTTCACTGATTACTCATAGTGTGAAAACAAACGGACAAATGTTAATTATTATGTGTGTTTACGATTTACAACTGTCAACTTTGTTATTTTTTTTTAAATGCAAGATATGGCATCGAGAGAAGTAAAGAGTTTTAATATGTATTTGGTTAATTGTAGAATTATATATCAACATTAAATTCTATTGTTAAATATTACATCTTACTAATATTATAAATGAGAATGTTTAGATGGATGTTTGTTTGAAGGTATCTCCAGAACGGCTGAACAGATCATGATAAAATTTGGCATACATATAGAACATAGTCTGGAAAAACACATAGGATACTAATAAAGTTTTTTTTTAGTTCTGCACGGACGTAGTCTCAGGCGACAGTTTATTATAAAATTCAGACACGATGATGCTGTTTAATTTAGTATCCAATGAGCAACTTATTACGACACAACATCTCAGAGTTTATTCCTAACTATAAGTCTACAGCGGGTTATTCTGTGTGAAGTAACAATTTACGTGAGTACATTGGCGTTTGGAAACAAAGAGTCCCTTGTTGTCTAGTAAAGAATTACCAGTGAACCAATTAACGCTGCAACTTTCTATTTGTTTTAACAGATCTCACCCATTGCAACAGTTTTCAGGGTAATGCATCACAAAGTGTCACAGAATAATCTGTACAAAAAAAACTTCATAATAATGACCACATATAAAAATTATTGGAGTGACTGTATATAATATCGAAAAAATTATATGTCATATACATCATTTTATTATTTTTTTGTCTGTTTGTCCGTTAATAGTTTGTCCCTAATATTACTTTACTATTACCACCTACGTATTATAACTTATATAGCCAAATTAATGGCACTACAATTCACCATACTATTATTTAAGAGCCATTGACGGATCAACAGCCAGCAATTGCCATACACGGTTCACAGTTGTTACCGTTACAAATGGCTGTAACTTCTCAGTTCGTGTAAGTCTGTAATAGTTCTCTTACTCACCTTAAAGCACATTCATCGACGTCAGTCTCGCAGAGGGTGCCGGTGAAAGTGGGGGGACACTCGCACGTGTAGGAGTTGAGGCCGTCAATACATGTCGCACCGTTCTGACACAAGTTGCCGGGACAGTCGTCGATGTCTATCTCGCAGTTCTGACCACGGAAACCTGTAATAAAAGAAATTATATTATTTTAAAATAAAGTATAACAGTTTAAAAATATATTTGCCGGTCTTAAATTCGCGCGACGCAGCGGGTACTGCGCAGAGTGCCGATGTTCTCGAGCTGCCAAGATATTTGAAAAGACTAATACCTAATATCGCACTGAGCCACCGTGGTTGACTATCGCCTAGTCACCCCTAATTTAGGATAGGCTTCGAGTCCCTCAATATAGACTCAATGTCGACATGTTACAGATGTCAATTGCGGTTGTCAAATAATTGACCGACTTTGTTCGTTTCCTACCTTCTTAATATGGTTACCAATCTAGTCTACAATCATTTAGCAATGCAGTATCTAATTGCTGTTCAAAACTGCTGAGTGGTGAAGTACAGAGAGCGATAGTGTACCGATTAGCAAGTCCGAAAACTCATTACCTTCATTAGGCGAGCGTTCCCACGCGGACCACATGTGCGCTGTTTATATGTGAAAAAAATTTAACGGCCGCCTGACTTTAAATCCATCGACGCCTGTTTTTTCATGCGCCGCGTACTGCGTAAGTTAAATCAGATGCGAACGATATTAAGTTGTATTTATAGAATTATTGTAATTTATTTTTGAAATGTTAAATATAGTGCGGTATTTTTATACTTCCTTCTTAAACTGTTTATTTATAAAGGTATTGGTTACAAACTCTTAAATATGGATGAGTATATGCAGTACGTTGATGTAAGCATTTTCTTTTAAATATAGAGAAATAGTATTGATGTAAACATCAGTTATTTGCAGTATTTTATCATGGCTATGAAGCAAGTTTTTATCACACGACTTGTCGGCTACTTTCACTTTATTTGGATACAAGTGACAGGTTTCCGAAAACGTGTAATTATACGCACACTAAATAAATTATATAAAAGATAAGACGTTGCCCGCGATTTCGTCCGAAAATAAAAATCTAGCAATAAATACTGACTCGATTATCGATTCAGAGAGCCCGCTTTAACATTTTCGCACGAATTGGACAGGCGTGAATTGGAAACAATTCGGCGTTTCGTCTTATGAGTGTGCATCCCGGAGGCCTAATTTAGTCCTCTTTCTCTTCCCACCCTTTTTCTTATAAGGAAAGGCTGGGAAGTAGAAGATTCCGGATGAGAGGATGCATGGAAAGGGAAGATATTTTCTTTCTGTGCATCCTCTCGTGCGTTGTTTAAAGGTAGGCATTGCGTATGCAATTACGTATGTTTACGGGCAATGGTCACTTCGCTATTTAAGCAATTTCAGGTGGCCGCTCGCTCATTTGCCAACTTATGATATAAAAAAAACTCGATTATCATTGATTCGAATTGAAACATTAACCGTGTGTTTCAGAGACCAAAATCCTCGTTCAAAGCATTTTATCTTCGAAAAAACAGAGATGACGATATCTTTAAAACGAAATTTTAGTTTCAGAAATCAACCAAGAGATCAATTTAAGAGTGGTAGAACCCGCTTTAACATCTTCGCACGAATTGGCCAGGTTCGCCCGGTGAAATACCACCACCACACAGAAAACAGGCGTGAAGTGGAAGAAATTCCGCGTTTCGTCTGATGAGTGTGCGTCCCGGAGGCCTAATTTAGTCCTCTTTCCCTTCCCACCCTTTTCTTATAAGGAAAGGATGGGAAGTGGAAGTGGACTTTCCGGATGAGAGGATGCATGGAAAGGGAAAATATTTTCTTTCTGTGCATCCTCTCCTCCGTCGATTAAAGGTTGGCAACGCATATGCAATTGCGTATGTCTATGGGCAACGGTCACTTCGCTATTTCAGCGATTTCAGGTGGCCGCTCGCTCGTTTGCCGCCTTGTGATATAAAAAAAAATAAAAAAAACCAAGAATCAAGAATTGATGGTTAACACTAATTTAATTTTATATGGTTAAGAATGTTAATTCCCAATTAGAATAAAAATATACGATGACAGAAAACGAAACCTTCTAATAATATAATCCTTAGTTATGTTCTAATTTAATTAAATAAAAAGCAATGTAATAACCAGTCACGTATTTATATTATATAATATTGAACCGTTACAATAGATTTAATTCGTTGCGATCCCCACCTCTGACCCGCGGCTACCGGCGCTTTGACATCTCGATATTACATTGACCTTAAGGTCTGAAACAAATTTATTATAGATGCTTCTGTGTACCCGACGCTATCATGCGAATTAATATTAAATATTATAGCATCATATTAGCTTAAACCTTTTAAATACGTAAATAACTTGGAAAGTAAAAACTCATTAATAATACTATTACATTTTTTTATATCATAATGTGGCAAACGAGCGAGCGACCACCTGAAATAACTGAAATAGCGAAGTGACCGTTGCCCATAGACATAATCAATTGCATATACGTTGCCTACTTTTGAGGAGAGGATGCAGAGAAAGAAAATATTTTCCCTTTCCATGCATCCTGTCATCCGGAAAGTCCACTTCCACTTCTCATCATTTCCTTATAAGAAAGAGTGGGAAGGGAAAGACGACTAAATTAGGCCTCCGGGACGAACACTCATCAGACGAAACGCGGAATTGCTTCTACTTGACGCCTGTCTTCTGTGTGGTCGTGGTATTTCACCGGGCTAGCCGGACCAATTCGTGCGAAGATGTTAAAGCTCGCTCTACCACTGTTAATATCCTTTTCTTTCTACAGAGAGGCATATTGGAGATATATTTTAATAGCTTTTGCTAGCGACTGAAATTACTACTAAGGAATTATAAAAAGCTTGGTAAACTTCTTTCAGACTATGTTCTATAACTGAGCCAAATACCATCGAGATACCTTGAGTCGTTCAAGAGATACTTTCTAACAAACATACATCCATCTAAGCTTTCGCATTTATAATATTAGTAAGATAAGTAAGATAGAGACACGATTGCAAACCAATGACGTCATAATTTATGATTTCACTCGAATTTCAAAAATGCACACTAACGCCATCTATTGCTAAAGAAAAGTAAAAATGTAACTAATGCGAAGGCAAACTATTTCAGTTTGCATCACGATCATTATATAATGTCTGTGATGTTTTAATCATCAACAAATTTTATTTAAACCTCACCTATCCTTGTATGAAATGCGATGTGATAAAAGTTACCAATTTTGATGGAATGCAAAATCAACTGCCCTCGAGCTGTTAAAATGAATTTGTCTTTAACATATCGCAGCACCGTGTGAGAGGTTACGTCCGCCGTCTTTCCCATAAGTGTGAGTAAACAATAACTGTACGGAAGCCGTTTAAAGTCTATTTTGGGAATTTTGTAACACATGTACATTGAATAACTTTTGACAGCACATGTTGGATCGTTCGATTTGAAATGATGTCTTTCCCGAGTATATTTTTGCAAATTTAAAGGTTAATGACATTTGAAGCGTGGGAATTAGCAAATAGTAAATTAATTTGATGAACTTTCGAATTAGATTCTCGGAAAGCGATATTAAAAGACAGTTATTATATTGTTAATTTGATGCTACAATGAATCAAACTGTTAACAAGAATCGTAAAGACAAAAGCTTGTAAGATAACGGAGGAACAGTGGTACGCGTCCATTATCCCGCGCCGAACGCACCGCACGCACGACCTGCAACGGATTATATTACGCTTTGTATGATTTTACTAGCTAGCTCTGCGACCATCATCCGCGCTGACCGCATCAAAAGGCAAAACAAATCTAATCCATGCGTGCGGTGCGTCCGACTCGGGTCAATGGACGCGTACTTAAGATTTCCAAGGATTTTGTTTGGTTTATATATCCCTTACTATTTAATACTATTAATAGACTTCAAAAAAAACTTATAGATACAATAGGTTTTTTAATAGACAATCTGTTTTATTCTGTCACGCCTATTCCCACATTAAAGCCGCGATGACGTCATACTCAATAGGAATAACATTTAAAGAGGGGGTTTAGTCGACTGATAAATATGAGTGTTCCCTTCGCTCTGTTGAAATACGGACCAATTAATTCTGACGGCTTAATTACCAAGCATCACTTAAGAGCGCCCAAATTGTAATAGAGAACCAAGAATGTTATATAGAAGAACGTAAGTATTAACTTGAATAAATGAACTGGATGTAATTAAGAACAGAGATAGATTAAAGTACGGTATAAAGTACTCAGTTACTGTTCAGCGTTACTTGAGTTTATACGAACATTTTTAAAGCCTAAGAAAATCTATTCACGAAATTACAATGTAAATTAGGTGCATAAAACTGACATACCAAAGGATTCTATCAACAACCTACCCTTATCCCTACGGAGGGTCGGCTAAATATGTACTTCTCCATATATCTGTATCAACCGTCATATCTGAATTCACCGACTTCTTACGCATCCTCTTTCACACAATCCATTCATATTTTTGGCCAAAGGACTCTATCAATAAACAATATTCTGTTATGAAGAAAGTTCAAAAGACGATCTGTTCAAGTATTCTGCAATACCTTACTTTTATTCCGTAAGAGCAATGGAAGTAATGAACACTAGATTTACCACTGAGAACTACTGACGTAACAAATGTATTCTGAACTCTAATCCTATGAAAATAAGAAATAAAATTAAAAGTTACAAAATGCTAAGCTTTCTCAATCTAATAACTTATTATTTGTAAGTTATACCTTATTGCGTGGTAATAGAGTTTATATTCGAGTAAACAATTCAGTGGTGAAGTGATTAAGCAAAACTCATTGATAGCGCCTCTAGTAGAGAGTAATAGAGGTCATTTTACAATTTCCGGCACGAAAGAAGACGCAATAGACAATGTAACATACGTGCAAAGAATTTTGCACGCACTGTAAATATGTTTAAGATTCATTTTTGATAAAACATAAAATTGGTCGGGTATTCCTAGTGTGAGAATTATACGGCTAATGAATTTGATGGAAGATTTTTTCTTAGTGTCAAGAAATAGATTAGAACATATTGATATAAGATACATTGGTACTATTATATATATATAATAATACCAATTTATCTTAAAATGTTAAATTAAAATGTTATAATATACGTTAGCCAATTTGCTGATTTACATTCGCAACTATTTATAATATATTGAAAAGACATAAATTACTTTTTCAGCTTTCAGCTCACTGTACGTCCCCACCGAGGGGCTCGGATCCTACCCTAAGTTAAAGGTGATTAGGCCATAGTCAACCACGCTGGTCAAGTGCGGGTTGGTTGACTTCACACATATCTTTGAATTACTTCTCAGATATGTGCTGGTTGCATCACGATGTTTTCCTTCACCGTAAGAACGTCGGATAAATGTACATATTTTTAGACATTTTATTAGAATCCTTTGGAGCAAATGCGTTCATTATAAAGTGAAGTTTCAGACTGATTAGTGAGGGGCCATAAACGTCGACATTTTAGTAAGACTAGTGTTGTGCTAGTAAACCGGCACAGTGTCGGATTTTCTTCCTAATAATATGTGTAAAGCATAAGATTAAATAAATTAATACATCGGGGAATTTGAACCCAGGACCTGCAGATAACAAGTGCTTAACCCTTAAGCCACCGACGTTCACTATAACATCGTGTTCCCAATCGTTTAAATACTCATTGTAGTGTAGTCTACAATAACATGGCTTACATTTTATATTGTAAATTAAAACTAGTCCTACAAGTTTCCTTGCTAATACAAAAACTTGAACGTAAAGCTATAAAGTCTTTAGAACCGTTTACGTCCAGTTTCGTTAACTGCTATAAATATCTGAGTAAAAATGTGGTTTGTGTGAACGTTGCTTTACAAGTCGTGGTCGCCTCGGGCACCTTCGGGTCACAGACTAAATAACTATTAGACACGCAATGTACAAATTGTTTCTTTTATATTCTAACTGTACGTTAGTTTAAATTGTTTTTGATTATGAAATGACTAGCTATCGCACGCGACTTCGTCCTCGCTGGATGAAAAAAATTACAAGAACACATAGAGACTACATGTGTTCTTCTAGACTATCTTCTATATGTACGCCAAAATTCATCGAGATCCAGCCGTTCTGAAGATAACTTCAAACAAATATCCATCCATCCAAACATTCTTATTAATAATATTAGTATGAGTATAGTAAGATTAAAGAAAGTTAAATAGCGAGTTCATCTTTTTTTTTATTAACGCTAAATGAATTTAAAGTTGGGAACACTTCTAAGCCTACAATCCCAAGTTATGTTTTAAGTTTCATCATCATCATCAACCTGCCCTTATCCCTATTGAGGGTCGGCACAGTATGTACTACTCCTCCATACAACTATCCTATGTTCTAACTTTAAAAATCCTAAAGAATTTTTAGTTTAAATTTATATCGCTATTCGATTATTTTAGAATATAAAAAATGTGTTTATAAAATGATAACCGTAACTCCAATCTGTCTGTTCGATTGATCATTTACATAACGTTTAGGATAATCTTTTAAGCGAAAAAAAAAATATGTTGTTTTACAAGATTTTTACAAGAACTAAAACATTTAAGAATAATTTGTTTGAAATCAAATTGATTGAATGAAATGGATAAGAAAATTGGTAAATTTAGCGCCGCTTACGTAAATACTAAATGATGAATAAAATTATTACCAAACAATCGTATTATGAGTCTTTTTAGGGTTCCGTACCTCATAGGAAAAAGACGGAACACTTGTACGATCGTTTTGTCCATCTTTCTGTCTGTCAAGACCCCTTTTCTCAAGAACGCGTGAAGGTATCAAGCTGGAATTTATTTTTTTGTTAAAAAGAATGACAGTATTTCTGTATACAATGTTTTTGTATAATACAATAAAAACAGGTAACAAAACTTGTATAAGCATAAGATTAAAGAAATGGTCATCATCATCAACTCACTATACTGAGGAGCTCGGAGCCTACCCTAAATTAGGGGTGACTAGGCCATAGTCAACTAGCCTAGTGCGGGTTAACTTCACACATATCTTTGAATTTCTTCTCAGATATATGCAGGTTGCATCGCGATGTTTTCCTTCACCGTAATAACATCGGATAAATGTGCATATGTAAATCGAAAAACACATTGGTCCATGTCGGGATTCGAACCCAGGACCTGCAGATTGCAAGTCCAGTGCTTAAACCCTTGAGCCATCGACGCTCTTAAGAAATGGTTACATTTAGATAAAATCGCAATGACCGAGTAATGTAACGTAGCAACGGTCACAGGTCAGAAGTAAATCGACGACAGATTCAGAAATAATTGGCAATCGACCAGCCACTATCGATGCTAATCTAAACGTGAACCGAGAGAAACTATAAAAGCTTTGGAAATGGTAAAGTATATTTACAATTAGAAATATGCTTAATTGTGTACAAGAATTCTATTTTATATAGATACTAGCTTAAGCCCGTGACTCTGTCCGCGCGGGATTAAAAATAGATATTGGCCGATTCTCAGAGGTACTCAATATGCTCACAAAATTTCATGAGAATCGGTCAAGCCGTTTCGGAGGAGTATGGAAACGAAAATTGTGACACGAGAATTTTATATATAAGATATTTTCTAACTTATAGACTGCGCGGAATTAAAAAAAAACTTATTAAGTAGTGCATATGTTCTTACAGACTATACTCTACATCTATGCCAAATTTCAAGATCCGTTGAACCGTTCTGGAGATACCTTCTAACAAACATCTAAATTTTCGCATTTATTAGTAAAATACTAAGATATCAGATAATATTCAAATTATTTTGCGTATTTTTTTAGAAGATGAGCTAACTAACGTTAAACGTTAACAATTTTCAACAGAACAAAAGACAATATTTCTGCCTTTAAAGTACTGATTTCTTCAGAGCCAAGTGATTTTTTTATTGAAATTCCTCGTATCCAAGTTAAATTAGACAACAGGACGGTAAGGTATTTGCTGCATTTAGAGATGACACAATCGTATACTGCACACGAATATATATAACCCAGTAAATTGAACGTTCAACGATCACTGGAATAAGTATACTTTTAAAGTAGGACTTTACTTGAGCAATATACCAATACAGATGTTACCATGTAAGGAAAATTGCCGACCATTTAAATCGACCTAAACTGTTTTACTTTCAAATGCAATGGTTTTTTTTTGTTGACTACAAATTGGCTCATTGGAAGTGTGACACCAATAACTTGTCATATTAATTAGAAATAAATGATTTATAAGATAAACATTTAAAACACTATAATTAGTTAAAATTTCAACATGAAATAAATCGATTAAAATACCACAGAATTTTTTTCTGTGGCAAACGAGCGAACGTCCACCTGTAATCGCTGAAATAGCGAAGTGACCGTTGCCCATAGACATACGCAATTGCATATGCGTTGCCTACCTTTAATCGACGGAGGAGAGGATGCACAGATAGAAAATATTTTCCCTTTCCATGTATCATCTCATCCGGAAAGTCCACTTCCACTTCCCATCCTATCTTTAGAAGAAAAAGGGGTGGGAAGACTAAATTAGGCCTCCGGGACGCACACTCATCAGACGAAACGCGGAATTGCTTCCACTTGACGCCTGTCTTCTGTGTGGTCGTGGTATTTCACCGGGCGAGCCGGGACAATTCGTGCGAAGATGTTACAGCGGGCTCTACCAGTGTTAAAGAATGACGTAGAAGGTAAAATTTTACATGTTAATTTAATAAGAAAGTACTCCGTGCATTATGGATTTGAAAGAAGTAGTCTTAGCTTATTTGGTCCATCGTCGTGGTAAGTCTCGGTCAGTCATTACCATACAATACTTCCGACGATGCCATTATGGTCGGATAAGGGGTACGATTCCCTGTCTCCAGATTTGGATGTAAACCAGCCAAATGTTTAATGTAAATTACATTTCATTACTAAATTTGGTAAAGAAAATGCTCGTTATCGTTTATGATAAGTGGTTATTCTTTGCATTTGCCAAAAGTTGCCAAACTGAAAACAGTCGGTATATGTAAATTACTACGACTTCGTCTGAATTAACGAAGTGTGAAAAGTAAGGTCTCATGTGTTCTTGATTTTCAATATTTGTGTTAATTTTCAATTAGATGTATTGAACCGTTGCGAAGTTATCGTAGGTAACCTATGTGTACGTAAACGTACCTAAGTAAAATCAATGCAAACATGACTCTCTGTTGAAAAGTAGTCTATGAATGTTGGTATAATCCAAAGATTTCCAAACTTTACAACGTGCCAGGTCATTCGTAGCCTTGGTAACACCACTTTGGTAATATCTGGTCTTACCAATTACTCACAAGTATAAGAAAACTCAAAACTTACCAGGTGGACAATCACATTCGTATCTCAGCTGATCCAAGGGCGTACATCTTCCACCATGCAAACATGGTGATGGTTCACAAGGCACGTACTCCGCATCACAATCCCGGCCCGTGAACCCTGGCTCGCACACACAAGTATACGACCCGTGGGTATTAAAGCATCTCCCGTGATGACAAGGTCCAGAACCACTTGAGCATTCCACCACATCGTCGATACATCGAGGGCCGGTGAAGCCGGGTGGACACGCGCACGAGTATCCAGCGGTCGTTGTATTGTCCGCAACGCAACGGCCTCCATTTCTACACGGTTGGGAAGCGCAGTGGTCTTCGTGTGAACATTCGGCACCTGTGGAAAAATGTACCAATTATAAAAAAGGGTTTTTTTGGTTATTGCATAGCAAATAATTTTAAACTGACATCACGAAGCATACATCTTAACTTAATTCATAAACCATCGGTTTCTCTTGTCAAAAGACACTTCGTTATCCCTCTCAATCTATACGAGATAAAAAGAGACGGTAATATTCTGTTTTGCACATACAAAAATATAGACATCTAAATTTTTAAAAGGACAACAACCTTGGTTTATAATTTATAGCCTCAAACCGTTATTAATTGAAAAATCACTAAAACTTTTAAATTAGTAGTCAGTTAATTGACTAAGTTTGACGCGTAATAAATAAAACATCTTTTAATTACTATAGACTTAGATAAAAAAGCAATTTTTCAATCATGTATTTAAATAAAGACTGATGGGAATCGAGAAAACATGTTTATTAAAAATAAAAATAAATTTATTGTTAAGTTTAAACGAAATTGTCAAATCCATCAGATAATTAATTGAAAAAATTAATGTTTTGTTGTTTTTATTAAGTCTTGATAGAGTTATTTTTGTAACTTCATTTAAGGATCAAGAATATTGAATCGTCCTATAGTTAAAAATATTGAATCTATGTTTACGTCAAAAATTTTACTGTTCTCAAAAGAGAACATATGTTACGTACAAGTAAAAACGCATAAAATAGTAGGTTTTATAATAAGTGGTCCGATGGCGCCGGGAGTCGAATTCACAGTCAGTTTAATTGGAATGGCTGACTAATCGATGTGCGCCAAACGACATGTTGGAATTGATAACTAAACTCTGATTGCTCCAAATAAGCTCAATTGATATGACAGTCATTTCGATTTCTATTTAACTTGTCTCTGTAGACATTAATATCATAAATTAACATGTAATTGATGTCAATTTTGTCGTATTTACTATTAAATTGTAACCGAAAATTTTAATCTACAATTCGTAATAAAAAAATAGCAAATTTTCAAATAAAAAAATTAACTAATTAATAAATCCGATATCCATTTTTAGATTCAAACCGAAACATTACGTGCTCAGAATTAAAAACGATTCACAACAGAATACGTGCAAAAAGCTAACTGGAGACGTCTTACCAAAACGGAATGAAAATGTGTGCGGAAAGTGAAGGAAATTAAAATTTTTGCTCAACTACGAGTCGGTAATTGCGTTCACGCGGCTTTCAAGATGGCGTCGGTTTAGGTTGCATTTTTTTCTGCGTTGACGTGGTTACACATATTTCTTTTCGATGCTTATTTATTTAAACATAGACTATTATGTTTATGGCGGAACAAAAAAATGAAAGCTGTATTTAATTTCACAACCTTCTAATAAAACTTGTTCCTGCAATTTACTTCATTCGATAAATAACCGTGAAACAGATATTAAAATAATACTTGTACTGTATTTTAAACCTTATTACAATGTGTTAAATTATATAAATGCGTAAACAGTTACAAAAGTAAAAATTGGACAGCCAATAAAACATAAAAGGTTGCTTTTACCTAAACAAAACGTAGACGTTTTAGCTTCATTTTAAAGCTCTTTTTTATTTCCTAACATTCTTTAACCATATCGTAATTGATATTGTCGATATTAGAAATAATAATCAATATATAAGTAAAGCGATAAATCAACTCTGAACATATTTCTTTTATATATCATTCGAACACCTGTGTATTAATCATCTTCATACCGGAACATAAAATTCAACAAAATGTCAACAATGCAAATAAACTTATGTTAAATTGTTGCTAGGGATATGTTCATAGCGAACTAAAAGGAGGATAGAAATTATAGGTCACCGACCTTGTCTATGACATTCTAAGATTCAAATTTTATGGTGGCAGCACATGGTTAGTTGCGAGCGTATACTGCAGTGATTTGTGCAAAATACGAACCACTATAAAGTTTGGATGGCACTGTACCGTTTTAACTATAAATATTTGCATAATAAAACATGAATACATACCTGTATACCCTGGAGGACAGTCGCATTCAAAAGTGTGTAGTGACGTCAACCGACAGGTGGCTCCATTTAAACATGGTGCCGAATCGCATGCGGCTGGCACCCGTATCTCACACAGCGATGCACTAAATCCGAGGGGACAGTCGCAGGCAAATGACGGAGGGCCGCCGCCGACCCCTGGCCGGACCCTGCAGGTGCCGCCGTTTTGACACCTGGGACTAGACTCGCTGTGGCAGGGGTTCAAATGTTGACAGAACTCGCCGGCGTAACGTGACGTACAACTGTAACAAAAGAGAAATCTATTAATTTCTTTCTTATAAAAATAAAATTATAATTCCATACGTATCGCACGAAATTAATTTGGTTTTATATTAATTATAATAAATTGCATTTCACCCACGCATACACTATACGAAAACCAACACAAGTTAGAGATAAAATCCGTCTTTCGTGGAGCAAAAATACTTAGTAGAAGCAATATGAAAAGGGCTTTAGTAGTAGTGGGCTATCGCGAGAGCGGACGTCGTCAATAAATAACGCCGATAGGTGGCGCTGGAGGACACGGTCGTGCGACAGCATGAGACTATCAACTTTTGTACTGCCTACCTCGCTTACTCTATACACATGAATACATGCAAGTACACGTGAAATTCCACTGAAATTTTTGTATTAAAACATTTTGTTAATTTTGTTTTGTTCGCAGAGAATGAAAGAGATGCAAAATGTTTTTGTAGTATGAGTTTTTAGGTTGATAAATGTTTGAGTTTTGCATACTCTTTTATCGCATATCTATACTAATATAATGCGGGAGAGTTTGTTTAAACGCGCTAATGTCAGGAACTATTGGCCCGATTTGAATAAAAAAAAATTCTTGGATTGTCCTTTAATAGAGGAAGGCTTTAGGCTATATAACATTACGCTGCGACTATTAGGAGCGAAGCGTCAGTGAGAAATGTTGCAAAAACGGGGAAAATTTTTCCTTAGTCTCACTAAAACTAGAAATTGGCTGAACGGATTTATCTTATCTTGGTTTTGAAATGTTCGTGGAGGTCTAAGAAAGGTTTAAAAGGGTGAGAAAAAATCGAATAATGGTCGGGAACAAATTAAAAAAAAATCATTTTACGCAGACGTAGTCGCGGGCGATAGCTAGTTGAAAATAAGAGGAAAGAGGAATAAAAAACATTAACACATCTTATATCTAATCTCAAATAAAAGTTTTCCCTCATTATAATATTTTGTGTTAATAAACGAGTTTCGTTTTTTAAATAAATGTAAATATTCATAATTTACAGTAGACTAAATATACATATCGTTACATATAAATGAAAATCGATAAAGAAAGCATCAAGACGATCACAAGATATATAAGTGGTGTTCACAATACAATCAATGCAAGCAATCATGACGGCCGCAGTTCAACCACCCACGTCCGCATTAATATTCCGAGAGGCAGTCTCACGTTATCGTTACCCAAATTGTTATATTATCAGCATTTGTGGGAAAATCATCGATTCCATAGACATTCGGTGTCCCATCTACAAGAAATTCTCATAGAAATAGTTGGAATTTTTAAGAAAAGTAATATGGAATCCAATTTTTTTTAGTGTTTATTTATGAACTGTAATTTTGTAACGATTTTTTCTTACAAACATGTTATGATAAGAAAATTTAAAATGAATACTGGTTGAAAATAAAAAAAATACTTATAATTAGAGCTCAATGACACGCCGTAAAAAAATGAGTTGTAACAACTCACTTGTTAAAATCGGTTCAGTCGTTTGTTTACGTTATAAAAGGTCACAAAGTCAAATTAAACGAAAGGTCAAATACATAAAAAAATAGTAACAAACTTGTGAAAAATCTTCTTTATTAATCATATAATAAATAATAATATCTTATTAATATTATAAATCAGAATGTTTGGATGTATGGATGAATTTTTGTTTGAAGGTATCGCCATAACGGCTGTATGGATCTCACTGAAATTTGTCACAGATGTAGAACATAGTCTGGAAGAACACATAGCTACTATAATATTTTTTTTTAATTTCGCGTGTACGGACTCGCAGCCGATAGTTAGTGGATTATAAAACGTAACCTTACTTTTACAAAAAAACCATATTAGGTAAATATATTTATCTGTAACAAGGTTCAATATTAAGGGATTTAAAATTATAATTTTTGAATTTCGAAATAATATTTTTTTAAGGACACGAAGCAAAACAATCTGGTACAAATAAACGTACTGGCAAGCAAAGATGCAGACAAGAGAAATACATTGACCATAAATACAATAGCTTTCAAAGAATATTCAAAGAGAACACAATTGTTGTTGCACTTCGTATCCATGATGCATGAGGTTGAATATCCAGTGCGGCTTGTAAGTTGTGATGCGTGGGCGGCACGGGCCGCACCTCACACCCACGCGTTGACCTCACAGGAATAAGGTGCTTGCACTCTACGTCCAAGTTGCAACCAACATATTATAGCTACTGATAATCGTATTAAAACTAGTTGTATGGGACTTTGTCTACGTGAATTTAAGAAAAAATCTCTGGTACAAATTTCATCCATATTAGTTTAGCCATTTTGGAGATATTTTCGCATTAATAATAAGAAAGATTACTTTTCCTAATGGAATTTATAAACTTGTCGGTTCATTTTGATCTTAGTTTTCGGGTGTCTTCAAACAATGGATCTACAATTAAGTAATTAAACCAAAATATATCCAATCGTCAACCAATTAGCAAAAAACTAGAACAATGAAACGTATCGTCGTGTCGAATGGTAACGATAAATTAAATTAAACGGTCCCGTACAATAATTGCATGATGAATACGTGAGAAAATTATTTAATAGAGTATGTATCGTGTTTATGACGGTTGGTTAGGTTTAAAATGAAAGACGACGACCACCGAGTCGTTAATTACGGTATAACGAGACATGGCAACATCGCGGAATGATGACAGCGCCCTCTATGCCCGAGCTACCTGCAAGCGGTTATCTTTTTAACAAACTGCAGCCGCCTCGGCTTTGTTCGATGCGCTGTTAGAAACTAAATCTTCATTACCGTACCAACTATAAATTAATTTCGTGCCCATACTATGAATTACGTTAAAATTCTTTAAATGTTTTACAGCTAACTAAAACATTCTACGTTATCTGAGAGTCATTTTAATCCTTCTACTAATACTTACTTACTTATACTATAAATGCGAATGTTTAGATTGATGGATGGATGGGTGGATGTTTGATTGAAAGTATCGCGAGAACGACTGTATGGATCTCGCTGAAATGGCATAGATGTAGAACATTGTCTGGAAGAACACATAGGCTATTCATCAAGTTTTTTTTTTTTAATTCTTCGCGGACGGAGTCGCGGCTACAGCCAGTTGTTTATATTCACAGTTCTTGTCTGATAATTGCCTATTAAATATCGATGTAAATTTTTGATTGAAATCTTAAACGTTAAACATAAAAGGAATCATTAGGAAAATACCATTTTAAACGTCAAATCGGTTTAGACATTTTTTAAATCGTTAGTTGTGGTTACTAAGACGCTACATTAACTCCCCAACATAACTTTAATTATTGAAGCTATGTTAGTGTAGGAAAGTAATTCAAGGCTAAGCTTGTCGTGTGTAGCCTAGCTTGCGGGGGTAATAACTCAACTGCACCGACAGGGTATCCCGTGTCCCGAGATCTCTAGCTAAGTACACTCGCGTACAAAATTCGCTTGATATTTCCTATAAGTTTTTTATATATAAACATGAATTTTTTAAAATCACAAAACTTGTTTTTCAAAAATGTCTATTTCTTAATAAACATTTATTGTTTTAATTTGGTGATTATTTTTAAAAAGGTCGATGATTCTATAACCAGTCTAGACATTTGTAATAGGCTAATAGAAAAAAACTTGCATATGCAGGTTTTTAAATTTTGAAAATGTTTGGATCCTTTTTACCGAATAGGTCGCTCAATTTATCGAAATTAAGGTATTTTTAACCAATACGATTATTTTAACAGTTTAAATACTTTAATGAAGGCTTTAGATGAAAGTACGTAAAGGGGTTTTTTCCTAATTTTTTTATCTACAACTCTCACTCTGACATTTCCCCAAAAATGTAGAAACCTCATTTTTGGGATCTTGAATTTTTTTTCCAAAAATAGTATCGATAGGGACATTATATAAGAAATAACAAAGGTAATAATACGATACTATTTATTGGTATTATATAAATTACTGGTCATAAGAGTACGATTTACAATTTTTTTTTCTAAATCCATTTTTTTAAGTAAAAAAAAACTTATATGTATTTACAGCTTTCTGTATACATTATGTTTTGTTAGAAATGTTTCGTCAATGGAAACTCTCGGTAATATAATGAGAGATGCATATTACGACAGTCGGTGGCAGGTGGCAGGCAGCGAGGACAAATATTAGCCGAGACAGCGGCTTCGTGGAATCAACTCCGCTACCTGATGTTGACTAATTAAACAAAACGAACTGTAAACGTCATTTAAGATGAGTATAATACGTCTTAGCTAAGTATACATACCTAAAATATATTTAAATTATACGAAAGGTATTAAAAAATAAAAAAAAGCGGTAGGCTTTTCCACGGTACATTCCTTTTTTGTAATAACAGATCAAAATAAAAAAAATTATCGCGATGACAATAGCTTAATGATACTCGTATTATAATTATAATCTTACTAATATTATAAATAAACCGAGCGCATCGTGAGAAGGTTCCTGTCTCTGCAGCCCTGACCACTGGTTGTTTGAGTCATGGGATTCCGCAGCCGGTGGTGTTCTATTTTTAATATAGTATATTTTGTATATTTTTATTTTATATATGAAATGTACTATATTAAGAATAAGATTAATAAACGAATACGAAATAATAATGTTATAAATAAATATTTAGAAGGTATCTCTAGAACGGCTGAATGGAACTCGCTAAAATTTAGCATGGAAGTACCATAAGTTACTAAGTTTTTATTATCACGTGCGAACAAAGTCGCGGACAGATAGTATAACTATAAAATTGAGCCATTTTTCTCTAACCTAACCAGCAACATACGTCAATCAAGTTAGTTTCCTGCTGTGCTGTTAGTATGGTCAAGTGCAGTTACGTATTCCTTAATCGGAGTTAAAAAACTCATTTGTGCAATAAGTAAACATTTCTTCCTGTTAATGTAACCTTAAACGTATGGATAACTGTTAACTGAGCGTCTGAACAATTCTAGTTATGTTGAGTTGGATCCTTCATACGTT